TCACACTCGGGAATCCCCACGACATAGACTAACAACATACAGGCCCCCGCTGCAACAACGCCGCACAGGGAGGTGTTGGTCTCTCCACCTGCCTCTGTCTGCACGCCGAAGAAAACGCCCTCCTCGAAGCCGGCCGCGACCGCATCGGCGAAAACGCCATCCTATACTGCAACACCTGTCCCTGCTTGACCTGCAGCGTCAAGATAACACAAGTCGGTATCAGTGAGGTGGTCTATAACCAAGGCTACCTCGTGGACGACCAGACCGCCAAGATCTTTACTGAAAGCGGCGTCAAGCTGCGCCAGTTCTCGCCTCCTGCAGACGGACTGGTAGATCTGAGCATCGGCGTGGGCGCAGACAAGCAGGAAGAGGAGAAGGCAGAAGATGCTAGGGAGCTACTCGATGATATGAACTTCCTGCGACCTGTGGACAATTAGGACCAACTATCAGGATAGACAAGCCAGATAGAAACCAGGCTATCCGACCCGCATGTAGTCAGATGGGGACGACCGCTGGTGGCGCCTGGTGGCGCATGGCGCCTTGTTCATGGCGAGCGCCTCACGAGGTGCGACCGCATGCCAAAGGCCACTACATGTCTTGGGCAACGAAATGATGTCAAGTCCAACACCTGCAGACCTTCGGTTGGTCATCAATTGCGATGCGCATCGTTCCAACTTCGACATGCTAGAGTTGGCGTTCGGGTACCGACGATGAAGGGATAGCTACAAGAAGGGCTGGCCATAGCACAGCCTTGCCGGGCAACACCGCCACGACCGCACACGCGACTGTCAGCAATGGTTCGGTTCGCCCGCGTGGCCCTTCTCACATTAACAACCTCAAAAACGCGCAATACTTAGACTTCGCATTCGGCCCATGACGTTTGATCTTGAGTTCCGTAACTCGTGTTGCTGACTTCTCATTTCCCCGCCTCAACAGTACCCTGAAGTTTAACAAGCTTCGGCCCGCTTGGTCGGGTTGAACTTGGGCCTGATGACGCGCCCACGCGGCGCGGTACCAACACCGTCACTATCACGGTCACCGCCATGCGATAGCTACTTGAATCTTTCGTAATTCGCTTTACGAAGACGTACGGAAAAAATACCGCTTGTCGTCGTCCACGTACCTGCGGTAACCGTGCTATCGTCCATCGCTCCACAAGCTTGACCAAGCCTCGACAAGCATCCGCTTCCGAGGCTTACACTCTGAGCTGGTCTGGGCACAATGAATGCACTAAACAGAGCCGCGGCGAATCAACGCCAAACATCATGCAAAAGTCTCGGTCTAATCTTCGTATAGTCCTGCTTCAGGAAGGTGCCTAAGGCTGTGCTTCTGTTTGCACTGCGTCATCTCGCATACCTCGTTGGTGCTCGCCCTTCGGCTACGAATCTCAACGCGATAGCAGGCCCTGCACGACCCGGAAAGTGGCGTTTGCGAGGTTTATTACCGAGCCTTGCTGGTGCCTCCGCCAACCTCCTGCTCTTCCGGGGTAAGCGCAAGGGTCTGTATACCGCAATGCCGTCACGTAGTAAACGTTCAAATACTCGCCTTGGGCCCGGTTCTTCCGTGCCAGCTCACAGCCGCTTTCATCAGTCAACTCCAAGATGAAGCTCCTTTCAGTGGTTGGTTCTTTGCTGTGTGCTTCTACAGCTCTTGCTGGGAACTCGCCACACAAGCGTGGTGTGTTTGAGAAGGTTAGGCCTGCTGTCGAGAGGCGCATGCCGGGAGAGGCTTTCAAGCATCCCGAGATCCAGAGGCGTGCCGAGAGCTTCTTCTTGACCAACAAGACTGAGTGTTAGTATTCATTGCCATACTGTGATACACCGGACTAACAAGCCAATAGCCTTCGCCGTCAACGGTACTGGTATCCCAGAGGTTCCTTTCGACATCGGCGAGAGCTACGCTGGTCTGCTGCCCATCTCGGATGATCCGGAGGAGACGCGAAAGCTCTTCTTCTGGTTCTTCCCTTCCACCCAGGCTCAGACCCCTGAGGAAGTTGTCATCTGGCTCAACGGTGGCCCAGGATGCTCTTCGCTCAGCGGTTTCCTCACGGAGAACGGCCCGTTCACCTGGGAATCTGGCACTCTCGCCCCGGTCCAGAACCCCTACTCATGGACCAACCTCACCAACATGCTCTGGGTTGAGCAGCCCGTGGGTGTTGGATACTCGCAAGGTACTCCCAACATCACCGACGAGGTTGAGCTTGGCAATCAGTTCCGTGGTTTCTACAAGAGCTTCGTTGATCTCTTCGGACTCTACAACTGGAAGACCTACATCACCGGAGAGTCCTACGCTGGTTACTACGTCCCCTACATTGCCGACAGCTTCATCACTGCCGACGATGACAAGTACTTCAACCTTGCCGGTATCTCCATCAACGACCCCATCATTGGTGACGAGACCATCCAGCAGCAGGTTGTCCTTCTCCCATTCGTCAACTTCTGGCAGAACCTGCTCTTCCTGAACGACACGTTCATGGAGCAGATCACCCAGCACCACAAGGAGTGCGGTTACACCGACTACATGGACAAGTACTTCACCTTCCCCCCACCACAGGGCGCTTTCCCCGTTCTCCCCGACCCATACAGCTCGGAGAACTACACCTGCGACCAGTTCGACAACTTCTACTCCGCCATCCTCGAGGTGAACCCCTGCTTCAACATCTACCACATCACCGAGACATGCCCGCACCCGTACTCCCAGCTCGGCATAGTCAACACTGGCGACTACTCTCCCCCAGGTGCCGAGATCTACTTCAACCGCACCGACGTCAAGATGGCACTCCACGCCAACGTCAGCACCGAGTGGCTCCAGTGCACCAACACCAACGTCTTCGGCAACGGCGATGACGAAGGTTCCGACCAATCTCCCGGCCCCGCCAACAACGGCGTCCTCCAGCGCGTCATCGAGTACACCAACAACACCATCATTGGCTCCGGCGACCTCGACATGCTCCTCAGCACGAACGGAACCCTCTTCGCCATCCAGAACATGACCTGGAACGGCGCCCAGGGTCTCTCCGAGTACCCCACCACCCCTCTGTACGCTCCTTACCACCCAGAGTACAACGGCGGTGCGCTTGCGGGTGCTGGTTACCAAGGCTACTGGACCGCCGAGCGCGGCATGATGTTCTACACTGCCCGTCTTGCTGGCCACGAGCTGCCTGGCTACACTCCTGGTGTTGCATACCGCATGTTGGAGATTCTCCTCGGACACATCAAGGACTTCAGCAGCACTGAGAACTTTGTCACGCAGACTGGTAACTTCACTGGTACCGGAACAATTTACAGGAGGGGTCTCGGTATGGGCAGCATGCAGTTTTAGACGTGCGTGAGAAGAATAGGATGATTTGAGGGACATGTGAATGGAAATTTAAATGATATCACCATACTTTATTTGCATACCAATTTCATTTGTGTGATGAGTGCGATGTTTTCCAAAGGATAGATGGCCGCTCAGTGGACCGTTGTTGGAGTGCTGCACTTGACATTGTGCTGTGATTTGGGTTCCGCAGATGACTCGAGTCGGATCCAATCGCCGCCGCGGCCCAAAGACCCCCACCACACAAATTTTCACCGTCCCAACAACGTCATCATCTAGGAGCGAGTTGAATGGGTTGCCTGTGGGGGATAAGCACACGCCAATGTCACTGCACAGCAAATGTCGAAGGATATATACGCATAGATTTTGAGGTTTGCCATCAACCACCTACTCAGCTATCAAGTTGATCAATCTTCAGTAGTATAGTGGTCAGTATTTCCGCTTGTCATCTTGCAAAAGACAACTCGCGGGAGACCGGGGTTCAATTCCCCGCTGGAGAGCTTCCTTTTTGCTGTTCCTACCTCCCCGTAACTACCTACCCACGGTCCTGGTGGATGGCGTGGCATGGATACGTGATTAGTGATCAGATACATGCTTTTCGCACGTCGCAGAAGCTAGGCATCGTGGATAGTGGATAGTGGATAGTGGATAGTGTTGGAGTAGTCTTGTGCATGCAAGTGTATGCGGTATGTCAAATGTTGTTTTTTGTCTTGGTGGCTCGGTTGGGTCTGCGGCCTCGAAAATAGACCGCGGAAGCTAGGGGAAGTAGATGCAGAGGGCTTGTAGTCTAAGGGTGCATAAGAAGTGTATTATGTACATGGAATGTTGTATGTTGCTTTTGCTGAGAAGGGTGTTCGGGGGTTTTGGTCCGTGGTTTGGGGATGGCAGCGAGGCGAGGCGGAACATGCTGGACACTAGGGATACGCTATTTAGATGGTGCTTTTGGGGACTAAATACGTGCGCTTCTTGGGTTATACGTGTGCTTCTTCAATCTGGATTTGTGCGGATGCTTCGTGAGGTTTATTGGGGCGGGCTAGGTACCTAGGTATGCGGCAGCGCGATGTTGCGGGAGCCCCGGAGGTGTCCCGCCTGGCCGTCTGCACCGCGAGTCCCCAACCATCACCTACGCGACAGCTTGACCACTGCGCATGTCGCGAAGCAGTCATGATTGCATCACTGAAGGCGCATCGATCTATAGTTCCAGTGGATGACAGACTTGACTCGACATCGCTGTATCAAAATAGTTATCGTCGACCTTGGAAAGACGCGGCACTGCTGCGCTGTCTGCAATGGACGGCAACCTTTCCCGGCTGTCAAACGCAGGCACTCGTGGACGTATCGAGATAACCAAGCTCCTAATCTACAACATGTCCGGGAAGCTATTGGAATAGTATACTAACGAGCTGATACGATTTCGTTGCAGCTAATGCGAAAGTTCACTTTTACCCAGGTAATTCTCGCGAAACGCCTTTCAGCATGCCGACTCAAGGCATGCTCCTTCTCCCCATCATCGCCCTGATCCAACGCCTCCACCTCCCGCCTTGCACACCCAACATGACCCCCAGTGTCGCAAGTACGCACGGCACCGTGACTGCAAAATACAGTCCCAGCAACGAGATCGATCCAGTCTTCTGTATGAGCATCTCGGAGCTGAACAGGCTCTGTCCATCGTTAGCATTTCATTACACGCAGACAAATGGGTTCTTTACGGCGATGAGCGTAGCGGGGAGGAACAAAGTAGCGATTTGCGCCAGCGTCTTGACGTTCATGGTGTCCTGATGGCCTTCCTTGGCAGTGCGCACGAGCTCTATAGTATGTGTGTGCATTTGGTCTGTCGTAGCGCGGTGTAAGTTGATATTGGTTTGCATGTGTGTAATGGAGAGTAGGAGAGCTGCATTCGTTCGTGTGGTGAGAATAGAGTCCAGTAGCTTCCTGTACTCGTTTGATTTGCGCATCAGCCTGCGGAATGCGTCTTGCGTGTGCTCGATCTCGATCTTCAGGTGCGCGACTGTGTTGTTTGCGTCGCATGCGCTTCTCGTGCCACATAGAAGGGTATGTTGGCGATTCCAGCCTTGCAGGACTTTGAGTTGCCCATTTACCGCGGCCGTGGATGTTGATAGTCTGCTTTTGAGCTTTGTTAGACATTGGATGTCTGAGAAGAGGACGGTGTGGTCGTAGTGAACGGGTGTGTCTAGGTGCGAAGACACTGCCTTTTCTTCCTATGGTGCGCATCAGCAGTGTGTTGTATATTGGCTTAGGGGTCCATAGCTCACGTATCGTCTTAGCTGTGCTTCCATATACTCGACATATGCATGCCAATTCTTGATACCGGAGTACAGGAACACGAAATGGACGTGTAAATTAGGAGCTTTACATGTGATGTTTCCCGCGTCATTCTTTTCGAGGGACGGTATTAAGCTTGTACGTGCGTGCTTAGATGGCTGTAGTACAACCCAGGTGGACTGTTGCCCAGATAACTGCGTTTTGTGATACACACCAGTCTGGCGCAATGACCATGGATGGCCTTTCTGTCGCCCATTCAGCTCGACGTAGCGCATATTGTAGCATAGTTCCAGGCATTGGCTAAACCTGGCTGCATAGAAAGTGTGCCGTGCGCGCTGGTCATCTTCAACTTTCCTTCCGAAAGCGCGTACGATATCTATGAAGGGGGTAAATATCCCTAATCGACCAGACAAGATGCGAAATGCGAGCTCCGTTATTGACAGCTGTCCCCAGGAGAAGCGTTGTGTTATGATACTGACTGCGCTCAACTTAAGCTTGTAGATTCAGTCGCGAATCGCTTACAAGAGTTGGGTTACATGTGGTACCGGTGGTTTCTTACTAGTTAGATGTGTATTGACATTGTTAAAAAATACGTACAGTCTTAAGAAATTCTTGTTCCAAGTCATTGCTTGACAGGTTGCTCTCCAAGATTAGACCTTCGCTCTGTGTTACTACAAATCAAAGTAGGTCTGCGCTTCAATGGCAGTATTGATAAAGCTTACCTTGAGGCTCCTCTTTCCATAAGACTGTAAGGTCACCGCCAGTCTTACAGAAGAACGTTTCGGTTTCGTTCGTCAAAGCCTCATCACAAAGCGTACGATCAAACCCATCTGGTGCATAGCACTCTGATGCTAGCGGATAGTTCTGAGCCGAAGGCGATGTCACTTGGTCAAGTGTCACCATTGTGCCCGTGTAAAAAGAATAAGAGATGCTTGCATGTGCCAATGTAGTACAACGGAGTCGCTCTAATACGATAGATGAGTTTGCATAGCCGACATGATCAAAGTATGGCCTAGCAGGAGAAGTCCTCCTGCAAAATCCGGTGAGCGCATTTGCTTGCTTGGTGGCGCTTTTCGGGATACGTGTCAAGGCTTTATCCAATCGAGCGACATAAATGAGCTGCATTGCGACCCGCATAAAGGTCAGCCGTTCTGCCTCGCTATCTCGCAATCCTACACAGAGCCTTGCGACCCCACCCCACCACAACGATGTTGGCACAGACTATAACACAACAGTACATCGCCCTTGGAGACCTTCAAGCCTTGTTGCGAGATAAGTTTGGAGCTGGCAACTTCAGGATAGTGGTTAGTGAACGATTTGCGCAAAGAGACAGCTCAACGATTGGAGCACTAACGTACGGTCCAGGAAAATTACGAATCCTACGACTTGACGGTTCCAGAAAGGCTGACCGAGGTACGCTCATGCGGTATGCAGCCCAGTGATGTCATCATTACTGACTTGAACTAGGCCGAAATCGCGTCTATCCAGAAGCCTGAGAACAACTAAGATGGACAATCTGGTCGAAAGCATTGAAAGCTTGCGTTTCAAGAACAAGAACATCGAGGGCCGATTTTTCGTCCCTGGGGGAGAGTTGATCAGTGTAATGTCTGAGCCTCGAATTCGTATGGCTCTCCATGAACTTGGGCTACCCTTGTATCAACACGAAGAGATTCTTGGTAGAATTGTCAAAGGGGCGAGGCGTTGCTTTGCCATTCTACTCTTGAGAAAATGCGGTCGCTTGATTCTGGACTTCTTTAGCAAAGATGCTCTGCAAAGGTCGCATCCTGACGATCGTCTCCCGTTCGAACCAAGCTCACTTGCCGCATTGTTCGGTGTGGAAGTTGATGATCTTAAGGTGCAGCGCTTTCTCGAGAAGCAATGGGAATTCTCCACTCCGTTCTTTTCCCGGATGCTATTGACGCGCGAACTCGCGCAAGGGACAATACTCCCTATCATCCATCAAGAGTCGATAGGTGAGGGTTCTTTCGGAAGTGCATACATAACCACGATACATCCTCAATGTCATGAACTGCCCATCGCAGCAAACAAGGTAAGTTTTGCATATGAGAATAGCAGAATGGTGACTGAGATATGTAGGTCGTGAGAAAGGAGATCAAGAAGTCTGCGGGACAAGCAGAGCATGCTTTCGCGCAAGAGCTCCGCAATCTGTCCCTGTTATCGCATCTCAAACACCCGAACCTTGTAGAGCTTTTCTGCTCCTACCGCTTTCGCGATACTTATACGTTCGTGTTTGATGTGGCAAACGGGGGTACTCTTGCGCAGCTGCTTCGCGGAGACTTGGTAGCGCCGTATTTCTCGAATCCCGAACCCTCATCACGTCACAATCATCCGCTGTTCGCAGCTTTGGCGGACCTCGCTTCTGCTGTTGAAACTGTACACAACTTCTCTTCGGTTGTACTGGATGTGAAGCTGACAGGATGCCACCACGACATAGCTCCACGTAACATCTTCATCCGTGATAAGACTCTTGTTCTCGGAGACTTTGGGCTATCTACCTTCAAAGCTCAAGAAGAAGGTTCCTTGACAGCTTTCAAGGAGATTAGATCAGACTACGCCGCACCCGAATGCCAACGATTTCAAGACACTCTGATCCAAACCGCCGAGGTCACGAGAGCAAGCGACATATGGTCTTTTGGTTGTATCCTTGCTGAGGTCGCAACATTCTTGGCCGAAGGCTCTAAGGGGGTGGAGAAGTTCCGAGAAGCTCGATGTCACGATGTGACGAACGAGATAACTTGGTTCAGATTCCACCACGGGCCCGCTGGGCCAAGCCTTGAAGTGCAAAACTGGCTGATGTCACTTCGACAGCGGGGCACGAGCCCAGGAACTTCCCTCATAACGCTTTGCGAAGAGATGTTATCTTTCGAACCTACACAGCGCCCGAGGGCAGTTGAGGTCATGCTAAGATTGCAGTACATAGCTGTGTTTGGCCTGGCTCGTCTCGTATCAGCATCTTGGGAGCAGCTTGGAGACTTGAAGGGTGCCGCCGATCTAAGACTGGGGCGAATGAATTTCGAAGGTTGGAGTAATGCCTTTGAGACATTCTATCACGACAGGCTATGTCAGCAGCCCCAAGGTGATGAGGTACCGACATTCCAGTTTGAGCTGATTCAAAGCGAGCTCCAAGACATGTCCGCATTTCTCGACAGTCTCGTAGACAAGAACGACGACTACAGGCGCCGATGCTCCAAGCAGGTCCACCAAATCCATGTTCGGTTACTCGGTGCACTCCCCATTCATTGCCGCGACTTGGCCAAAACTCATTCGGAACAATTGATATTGCAAGACGTCCAAATCCATGGTTTCAATTTCGGCCCGGCGGCAGGGGCCAGTAATGCTGTGAGCCACGAACTCGGCTTACTCGTTACTGTGAAGCTGTTGATCGAAAAGGAGCGGCAGGGGCTTCTGAGCGAAAAGCGTGGTCTCTTCCTTAAAGATCAGGATGTCAAACTGCTCGATGACATTGAGCAACATACCCGGGCTTTAATAGAGCGAAGCGAGGGTAGATTCCTGGTAGAATGGGTGGAATACAGCTTTGCGTGGGCAGATGATGAGACGGGAAGACAGTTCCGGGACCGTGTTGCTTCGGTAGCAGGCTTAATGCACAATGACGACGCCGCCCGGATTCCGAGTACCCTGCATTGCCGAGGGTTATATCATCGCCCTTCCAGAAGGTCGTTCGGTTTGGTGTATGAGCTACCAAGCTCGTCGGACGAAGACTTGCAAATCCTGACATTGAATCAAATGCTTCATGGAGGCTTGTCCTATCGTCCCACCCTCGAAGTCCGTATACGTCTCGGCTATGCCTTGTCGCAAGCGGTTTACCAGTTCCATTCGGTGGGGTGGCTGCATCGTAATCTCAACCCGACAAATATCTTGTTTTGTCCAGCGAAGGAAGCAGACCGAAAAGAATGGGCACAAACACCGATCATGCTAGGATTCGCTAGCAGTCGACAGAACGAGGCGGACGCTGCTACGCTTGGCCCTGACAACAGACTGAACTACCACCACCCGGACTATCTGCAGAACAAATCGAGATATCGTCAGGAGTACGACTATTACAGCATGGGTATGATGCTTTTAGAAATCGGACATTGGGCGCCACTGGTGAAGCTTACTGAGAGTAAGCGGTTCCGCGGCCTGGGGCCGGAGCAGTTCACCAAAGAGATTTTGAACACGCGTCTAGCCCAGGTTGAGCTCACAATGGGATCGCGCTATCAACGTGTGGTAATGAGTTGCCTGAGCGGCCACTTTGCTGCTAGGGGAAGAACTGGGCGCGAGGACGACGACTTGGTTCTGCGTAGGATGTTCAAAGCTGAGGTCGTCGACGCGTTGGATGAGCTTTTTAGCGCTGTTAGGTAGCATCCTTTCGATTTGTGCGTTTGGTCATAATGTGAGCCATGTCTTGAAGGATCGTGTTTTGCCGGCGCGTCAGTTTCGTAACAGGCCGGATGGTCATAGCGGGGCTTACTTAATACGCGGGCTGCTGCCTGGCAGCCGGGTTCCCACGCGACGGAACGAACACTTGAGCAACGACTTCCATCTTCATGTCGATTCCATGGAAGGCACTGCAGATTGCACGCAAGAAACATCTTTTTTTGTGCGTGACACTGCCTACTCGGCGGCTTCTGTGGCATCAATCGCACACCAAATTTCCACTGCCAGCTCTTCGCCAGACGCCAACCTGCAAGAGATTTTGGCACTGGCACAATCCCGCGAAGTCGACTTCCTCCCTTTGATCCATCAGCCAACTCTTGGAAACGTAGGTGCTGGCTTGACTGCAGTCGTGAATCAGCGTTTTATCAGGAATGACCTGGAGCTTGCATTCAAGGAAGTCAACTCCGGGAGTGCCTTCCTGCGAGAGCTCAGCTTTGTGAGCGCACGCGCGCTCCGGGCACACCCCTTCATTACTAAGTTACAAGGTATCGGCTGGAGTGTGGACAGTAGGAAAGAGGGCAACAAATGGGTTATCAAGCCGGTTCTGGTCTTCGAGAAGGCCACACATTCAACATTGTGGTCCTTTATGCACACTCGCGAAGGCGGTTCTCTCAGCTATAAGCAAAGAATAAGTATTTGCATTCAGCTCGCAATCGCTGTCGCGGATCTGGAAGACCATCGTGAGCATAATCGTTTCAATCGATAATCCAGCTAACGTTGATCAGGCATCATACATGGCGACATCAAACCAAAGAACATATTGGTCTTCGTCGACGGGGTTGAAAACGGTGCCGTTACCATTCAACTTGCCGATTTCGGGCACTCCAGTGCAGTACCAGATGAGGCGCCTGATCTACACGTTATTCTTCCCGAATCACGCCCGTGGTCAATACCCCCCAACGAGTATCGTCATACTGGATTCCATCTCTTAGATGCTCAGCGGGCGATGTCTTATTCGTGCGGTGTGTGCTTTTTGTGGCTGCTGTTCTATAATCACCCCGCCTATGCCGAGGGTGATTTCGCCGATGACGTATTATCTTTGGACAGCAGTACCATGCTTGCAATAGCAAGAACAAAGTTGCAACAAAGTAATGAGACCTTTGAAAGTATCAAAGGCTGTCTAAGTCAGCTGTTCGAACTGACGCTAGCTGCTGAACCTTCAGCTCGCCCCACGTCGATAGATACTCCTCTCCAAATCTTGAGGGACTGCTTCGAAGCCTGCACGAAGGACGATGATCCCGATCCACCGTGCGTTACTGAAAAACCGCTGGCGGTAGCCCCGAGCATGACCTACGATGCGATTCGAAAGATTCCGGATGTCTTGAATTGGTTCGATGTACGTGTTTCTACTCCTCCAGTGCCTTAGTCTGACATTTTAGGTTGTGCAAGGGTTATTGCAGCTCTCCGATGTGGACTACAGAGTTCGAGTCATGATTTTCGACAGTCTAATCATTCGATACCAGGAGGTGTTGCATGAGCCGGACATGACGCGTCTACGCGATGCAATAGCCCTGGAAATTGCTTCATGCTACTGGCTTGGTTTTGGCACGAAGAGAGATGAAGCTCTAGCGAAAGTTTGGTTGGCAAAACATACGCCAAACCAAGGTTTCTTCGACTATCGCCTCACAAAACTCAAGAACACACTTGGAAGTTGTTACCTCTGGTGGACAAAGTTGTCACAGCAATTACAGATTGGACATCTGGACTTCACGAATGACATGCAATACTACCGAGACCAGCAGCAGACACAAGCGATACTGGAAGTCGAGCGTCGAGAGTTGGAAGACTGGGAAGAAGTACTAGGTCCTGGACACTTCATTGTGTCCTCAAGAAGCTTGGCAGTATGTGAAAAGCTCATCAACATTGGTATGCAGGACGAAGCAATTGCTCTGACTCAGAGTATGTATGATCGTTCGGAAGCGGTTCTACCGTCCGATCATGTTGCACTGAATGCGTTACGAAGTTCGCTAGTCAAGTTGTATTTGATGGAAGACCGCCTGACCGAAGCGCGCCAATATTTGTTCGAGTTGCATCCGGAACTGAAGGACGAAAGAAGCAGAGTCAAGCTTTTGGAGGATGTAAATGATGCAGTCTTTTTAAGAGACAGTGCCAATTACATCCTCCTAGCCGTTCTGGAAACCGGCATGAAGCGCTACAAAAAGGCAGACACAATCTACAGGCTGGTCATACCCCGCATGTGCAAACTTCTTGGCGACCGAAATCTGCAATGCGTCAGAGCGCGATACGACTGGGCTATGCATCACAGCTACCGAGGCAACTATCCAAAAGCATTGGAGTTACTGGACCCTTTGTACAAGGTTACTGTCTCCAACTACGGAGAAACGCACGAGCTATCTCTGCTGGTTGCGCAATCGCGGGTTGAGCACCAAGTTCGTTTGCGAATATATCGAAAGACTTGGGTTGGCCGCTTCGCTAGTCGGAAATTCCAAATGTGGTTCTACAAAGAGCCTATTGAAGCTGCTCAGGCATACCTTGGAAACGATCACCCGTACACTATAATGGCTATCAACCGCGGGGTAGCCGCACTAGCAGGGAATATTAGGTACAAAGAGGCCATTGAGCTAGCGAAGTGCGCAGTGGAACTCGTAGAGAAGAGATCTGGCAAGGGCTCAAACGCTGCAGAATATCAACGTGGCAGGCTCAAGCTAGTACAACAAAGTGCATCATTGCATGGTATTTTCTTCACCTGGGGCTCTTGGACTTTACGGTCACACGAGCCGTGGCGCTTCAGGGGAATTCCTATATGGTGGAAAACCACGAAGTTTGAACCCTTCAAACTCGATCTAACACTGGATCCCAATTACCGCGCAGATAACGTAACCGCTTGATTGCTCAAACGGTTGCTGCACCTATATACTTGCAGCCGACGCAGGTTGCCAAATACACTGAAGAAGCGGTTTTACCTCTGGAGGATACTGGCCGGGGCTGGTCAGCCGATAGTGCATCTACTGGCGCCGGAGTAGGCAAACGTCAGTCAGTCATGTCATTTTTTAAGCCCGCAGACCAGAAATTCCTTCCCATGATCTCATTTCCTTCCACGAACGATCTTGCCGCGTTGCTTTTCGCTTAGGTTTACGACATGATGGTTGTCGTACTTGTTCTCTGGACATTATAGAACATCAGAGTAGATGTAGTTTTGGGAATTGGATCGAATCAAAACGCACGATGCCAGCGTAGTAAGGGCTGCAGAAGCGGACAGCATGTGGCGTCCTTTGGATTATTTTGTTGGAAACACATGAAATAGGCGAAGGTTTCTTTTAATTCGCTCTTTGGAAGTATAGCGTGCGTGAGCGAGGTGCGCTTTTTGGAATTTGCATCGAATATTGAAGGGAAGGAGCTGGCACAGCTATTCATCTTTGCGAATACCCTTTTGGTATTTGAGCAGACTGAACTGGACATAGCGCAGCAAATATGTGAACGCTATGAAGACATTTTGGAGAAATGAAGCCTTTGGGTGGATGAGAAGAGAAGAAGGATGGCGGAAAGATGAGGGGTTATATACAGCCCCAGCATCGGACGAGCCATCGACGCTTTCAATCTCCGCAATCAAAAAGAGAGGAGAAGAGCGAAACGTAGCCATGTCTGCCTACTTCCAGACTTTTAGTATTCCGGTATCGAGGGCGCCAGACAGCACAGGAGACATGTAAACGTACGATGGCTGTTTTGGTATGATAACTCCATGGAGCGGATGAGGAAGGAAGAAGATTGCCAAATAATTAAGTCTCTGATATCGCACCTGAGCACATGTAGTTGGCCTCAGGGCTTTTCTGAGAATGAGAGAAAGACGTGAGACCTTGTCGTTAAAGAGATAGGACCGCCGAACTCTCGGAGCGGACCATGTATGCTTCTGAGGAAGTTCTTTGAAGCGACGTTCAAAATCCCCAGCTGGGAGATGTAACTTTGGAAAGGTCACAAAGAGCGCCGGGACATAGTCCTGGTACTTCATGTTTTGTTTCAACGAGAGTTTCCAACCATCGACACCAGCTCTAGGATTTTGAGGGGAGCACAGCAGCGCGGACATGTCTCCACGCTATCGAAATTTTGGAAAAGAGGAAGAGTGCTCAGACATTCGAAGTACAGTAGTAAATTTAAGTAATAATCACAGAACTGTGTAGATAAAGAAGAAGAAAGGCGGAAGGCGCGAGGACGTATTTATACACCACTGCTCACTGCCCACTGCCCATACGCGGCACATGTCTGCGATTTGAAAACTGATCGAGATTGGAAGCCAAGGTGCAGTTCAAGCCCACTTCCAGAAATATCATCGCATTGAGAAACGCATTTTTGAGGATGTGAAATCCGCTTTCGAGACAGAGGTTGCGAAATCTTCGGAGACGCAGAACATCGCATTGGGCGGGTTGGTTTTTGTGTGAGCGCAGCGCCAGACACATGGCACGATCGGCGTATCATTTCTGGGAAGAAGACCAGAGCCGGCAGAAAAGTCCTGAAACTGCTTTCTCAATATTTTTTGACGTATGTTCCAGGCAGTCATTTTATTTTTTGTGTTTTTGGAGTAAGACATCAGGAAGTCGCCAACGAAACATAAGTCTGGTGTGGGGGTAATTTTGAAAGGAAGAGAGAGCCCGCAGACATTCATCTCCTTGCAAGTGTATTTTGGTAAAGGAAGAAATGAGTTTCGGATAATGACAGGAAAGAAAGAGGCAGAGCAGGAGACATTTATATACCCACACCCAAGCGCCGAACGCTCAGACACTGGAAGAAATCGGGTGGTCAGAAGTAGTGGTGGTGATCATCATGATGTATATATATTTCACGACCATATTGTTTTGGCCGTTTCCTTCTGCTATCTACGTATACACTCACCTAGCGTCTTCGTGCACATGAAAGTGCTCATTCAACGTCCAGAGAATCAGTCGTCTTCGCCATACACTGGCCCGTTTATCGCGCCAGTCCATACTGCAGAAAGCGCCGACGCTCAATATATACCAACAGCGCCCAACAAAGAAACCACTAAACTATGCAAAACGACATTCAAGAAGCCAAGTAGGAGATACAACGCGAAGGAAAGACGGAGAAAGTCATCATCCTAACCGCTATAAGTACGGCCCCCCGCCGCCCTTCTCAAACTCCTTTGGATCTCTCGGACTGAGTTCCGAGCCATCAGTATCCACCCTTCTTATCGCCGGCTTATTCTGTACTCTCTCGGGCTCAAACCCAGGACTAGACGTCCGCGGCATATCCCAGTCATCCGAGTAGCCTGGTGGTCCGACCGGCTCGTCATCATCATCACGGCTAGCTATCGGAAGGAGATTTGTTGAATCGCCCTTCACAAGGCCGAGCCTCTCTTCCTCGGTAGCAGTAGCTGCGGCTTTACCCTCTCTGCTGCTCTTCCGGCTATGCCTACTAGTCGGGCGCACTTTGCTACTTGACGCTTCGCCTGTGGATTCTGAGCGGTGCCGAGAGAAGACGTTTTGGAAAGAGAATTGACGCTTGGCGATGTGAGGGTTCGGTCGTGGTGGGGCGAGGGAGTCGTTCGAATCGGTACGGCTGTGACGGTACTGCGGGTCGGGGAGCGCGGCGAACTGGATGTGTGTGTCGATTGGCTTGTAAGATGTGTCTTGTGTCATTATAGTCTGCTTGTAGGATCCGGCGTCTGATTCGCGGTCCGATGCGCCGTCGGCTTGTGGGATGGACGGGAGTGTCTGCATGCCCATGCCAGAAGTCCCTGGAGCGTGAGAGCTACCGCGACTACTAGTCGATTTGCCTCGGGAGCGCAGTCGTTGGAAGAAGCCGGGGTGGAAGCTAGCGTTATCGTCGTCGTCGTCGGATTCGTCGGTCGGGAATTGTGACATCCCAAGAGGGGGGTGGATGGTTCGGGTTTGGACAATGGTGCCGCTGCGCGTCGGTGGCCGATTGGGGTCGAGAACCGTTTTACGTCTTCGGAGACCGTCAAACTCCACCTGCTCGCCCTCACCAATCGGTTCCATGTGCTCTTCTTGAATCTTCTTTGCCTCAGCAAGCTCCTTATGCGACCTAGCCTTTGACAGTGATCTGAGGATTGCCGCGCCGCCGCGAAGGGTGTCGGCTCGGGGCTCGTATTCTGGTTCTTCCATCTCTGCGACGGTTCGCACTTGGTCGAGGTCGCCCTTGAAGACGGCGGAGTCGGGAACGTCCTTGGCCGACTTGGAGAGTTGTAGTAGCACGACTCCGGAACAAATCTGCAAGAAGCCCATGATGACAGTGACAATCTGAAGCGGTGTGCCTTTGAAACCCTGGAAGAGGACGGCCGAGGTGACGATAGTCGCGGAAGTGAAAAAGACGTAGTAGGTTGGTGTTACCAAAGCAGCATTGAACAGATTCAAGGCTTTCTGGGCAAAGCTTAGCATACTCCACATGGCCAAGAAAGAGTGAGGGACTTACGTTGAGGTAGATGATTTCCGTCAGCAATGTAACCACCACAAAGACGAGCAGCACATAGAGGAACCATTCCTTAAACTGTCCGCCGTATGTGCCAGAAGCCTGCGCTACGACAGCGGCACCGAGGCCTTGGGTTGCGACAACGCTGAGTCCTCCGATCAAACTGCAGATGGTGATGTAGACCATCATAGTCTTCTTTCCGTACTTTGGGCCGAGCCAGAGAGCAATGACAACACATGCGACGATGACGACACCTGCATAGCTGAGAAAGCCGGGCGCAATGACCCATTTCTTCATGTCTTGGATGCGCGCCACAGACGACTGCTCTGGCGCGTTCACTGCAATGACAACAGATCCGATGATGCAGTTGAAGCAGCCCACCTTTCCAACAAAGCTCAAGCGTTCCTTCAAGAATATAGTGGACAGTATAGCGCAGATAACGACGGAGAGAGCGCCCATGGGGGTTACGAGAATAGCGTCGGTGAAAGCGTATGCGACAAGGTTACTGCCAGGTATTAGTAGGATGTTCGGACGTGATGCCTCGTAGTCTGTACCATATCTCTCCAACAATCATGAGTGTCATGCCGAGCCACCACCAAGCGTTCTTGAGGTATCCGTAGCCTTCTCCCGCCTCTTCATTGTACTTCTTGTTCGCCTGTAACAGACCATGCTTCTTGATGACGAACGACGTGCCGATGAAGACACCCGATGCAATCGCCAGGACGAGACCAATGATTTTGTACGAGCCTGGACGGGTTCCAGTGTCGCCGCCCATGCCACCAGCGCGGGCATCCAGTTGGGCGGCGGCATGGAGGACGTGTGCTGTTGCGTCCATGGTTTGGTTGGGTCGCAGCGTGTGCTACCAAGTGCTAGTGCACCGGCGACTCGACCTGGGGGTGTAATTGATCTTGAGGCTGCTTTACCGCGGAAGCATGGATAAAACTGTTGGCGACTTCAATGCCGTGTGTGAAGGTGCACGAGGCTGCACGTGGAGGAACGCTGGATCGCGGAGGCAGGCACGCTTTGGGAAGTCTGTTTGGACAGGGTCCAGGGCGCCACGGAGATGAGAGAGGAAGGCGCGGAGCGGTCGCAGAGGAAGTCGCAAAAATCGGGGAGGAAGGCGCGAGTGGTAGGGGCTTTCTGTTGGTGAAGTACGAGGAAGGCGCAGTCTTCGGTGCAGATGCGGGCCGTTGGTGCGTAATCGTGGTGCGTACAGCTGAAGGGTCTAGATGCGTAGGTGATTGGTGCGCGGGTCGTCGTGGTGTTTACACGGCTGTTGGGGGCTAAAGCGTGGCGCAGAGGGGCTGCCAAACGCTGTTATACAAAAAGTTGCGGCGGAGATTGCTTGAGTAAACAGAGACATGCGACAGCAGAGGCCGTCCCGCCGCCGTCAACATGTAATCTTGCTGCAGGGGCAACGGCGCATGGATCGTGGGTGTCCGGGGGGCTC